TATATATATATATATATATATATATATATATATATATATATAATCACTTTATAGATTATTATATATAATAATTTATTTTACACAATATATACAATTTATGTGTGTACATGTATATTTTTTTGCTATGTTTTTGCTTCAAGTAGCACCATTTTCAAATCAAAGGTGAACTGTGAGATTATATACAGTTAAAAAAAATTTATTTAGCTTTTTTTAAGATTCTAGCAGATTTTAAATTGTCTTCTTTCTCTTTCAGATGAACCATGATGTCCCAAAGAAAGAATACCAATGCAGTGGAGAGATTGGAAGGAAAACGTTCGAAAGAACTTATGTCCTCTTCCAGTCTTTCTGGTATGTCACAGTTATCCAACAGCAGTGAGGAAACATTGGAGGCCTTTGTACACAAACCTCACAAATCTGATAGTTTAGAAAAGTGAGTTATTTACGTATGAGATATGTTTGTCAACTTTCAAATAACTGCCAAAGTTTTTTCTTTTTACATTATGAAGAGAGATTTTGCTTTAGGAAATTAGCATACTAGATTATTAGGAAAGTTTTTTTGTAGGTTTTTTTATAAATGCTGCATCATGTTCTGCATCATAATGTGCATTTCTCTTTTGGATTATGTACGTTTTGCAGTGCGCAAATTAAATCACATGCACACTTCTTTTACCGCTTCATCAAAAATTTGTCCAAGACTTGCAATTATTTGTAAATTAAATTTTAGAAGTTCAAGTAAATAATAAAACCTACCACAAGTAGTAGTAGTTTAAGTAAAACCTTGCTTTTCACATATGAATAAATGTGATTTTAATGGAAATTTTAGTCCAGAGTTTGCTGTGAAGATATTTAAGATTGATTATTAAAATATTATTAAACAAGCAAAAATTAATTATGAATTGGTCAAAGAATGCGTAGATTTTTGCAGATGGAATGGAAATATCGGCAAAATTAAATAGAAAAAAACTTTTTGTATATATTGCGCGTGTTTATAAATCTATATAGTTAATTATTATGCAGATATTATTAATTCTACAATTTAATTGAAATTTTTTATTGATAGAATTGGATAATGTATCAAATACATACATAGATACCGCTGATAAAAGTACGATATTGACAAAAATCATGCTTCGAAATCACGCAGTATGCTTCATGAATGTTTATTTGCAGTACAACGAATGCGAGAAATGTACAAAACAACGAATGGCTATTGAGCGGATCAAGTAGAAGCAAAGCACCTGTTTTACGCTTTAAGTAAGTTTTGTACACAATTAGGAACTATTTATCCTTATTTTCCGAGCCAAAATCTTTTTAAATAATTAAAATATAGGGGATAACAAGCCAACGTCAAATGTTTTTTTTTTTTTTTTTACATTATATTACAATCTTCAACTCCCTCAGCACAGACGTTTCGATCATAAGATCTTCAATGTGAATATGTAATGACGGAGGTCACAAACTCAGGCTGTGAAACTCAATATTATTCAGGATGTTAATGTCTTGACTGACGTTTCGGTTAACATTTGTTCGTTATCAGCCGAAATATTAACATTCTGAATAATATTGAGTTTCATAGCCTCAGAGTTCGTGACCTCCGTCGCTACATATTGAAGATGATCATCATATCATGATTGAAACGTTTGTGCTGAGTTAAAGAAGATTGTAATATATGCAAAAAAAAAAAACATTTGGCCCTGGCTTGTTATCTCCTTTCCTATACTTCAATTGTTTTTATACGAGCCTTAATTCTTTTTCAACAATTCTATTTGTCCTTCAGATATTCCGCTTTAGCCACGCCGCCAGAAGATCCACCCGCAAAACAGTTACATATGACCTACAAGATCTTTCAAACAGACACTAAGCTTATTAATCTTCTGTTGCAATCACACGGTTTAGTAGAGGTAAGTTTTCAATATATTATCATTACATATATTGATTATCATACGAAGTCAGGCAACTGGGTTTTGAGGCCGCATTCCTTTCCGCACGCTCGTCGAATTGACAATTTTGTCACGTCAGTAATGCATTTCTGATATAATGCGACTCGAATTTCAAAATCTGCCACGTTATTAATAAATAACAACTGCGCAAAGCGATGGATATCCAATTTGTTTGTAATTATTGCAGACGAAAAGAACAATTGAACGAAAAAGTAGCGCTTTTCCGATCTTCATCGAATCATTGAATGCAATTATTCCAAAACCAGTGCGAGCCGGAGCACAAATCCACATTTATATCCGCTCGCGTTAGAGTCGCTTTCAGTATTTTCGCATCTTCGCAGTTCATGTTCCAATTCGTCAGATTACCAAACCGTTTCAATTGTTTGCAACTGTGGAACGTATTCAGTACAGTGATTGCCGATATCCGACTCGCCTCGTAAATGTAGAAACACGTCAAATTCTGCAGACTCTCCACACACTTGTCTAATTTGCAGCCGCTTCTGGATTTGACCGGCGGCTTTAGCAATCGCTCCAAGTGCTCGTTCGTCAAGTCGAGACAACTGTGAACGTGGAGCGCCGTTAGCTCCGGTGCCAGCGAAAGCACTTTCGTGATCGCCGACGCGTTCACCGCGCGTCCCAGTTGAATTCTTCTCAAGCGTCTCAGAGGCGGTGGATCGTGTCCGTCGCTCCAAACCACGCTCGGTCCGTCCTCGACGAGCGTGTGCAGGTTGGAGCAGTTGCTCAAAACCTCCCTCAAATCCACCTGCAAGGAGCCGCTCTCGCTCTGCGCCATCCGAAAGCTGAGCTCGCGCAAATTCCGGCCGTGCGCGCGAAGATAACTGTGAAAGCCGTCCAGCCATTCCCGCTCGGCCGGCACGCCGTGCACGCTCAGCGAGGTGACGCGCGAGAAGAGCCGCAGCGCCTCGGGCGAGTGATGCGGGTCGGAGATGTGCAGCTTCGTCAGCTTCGGGCACGCCCGCGCCAGAAGCTTGAGCCGGGCGGGCGTCGTTCTGCAGCTTCTCGCCTGCGTCAGGCTGAGCGGCGTGCTCAGGTCGACGAACTCTTCGCTCATCAGCTCCACCACTCGGCCCATGTGGCTGTACTGCGCCAGGGACGCCAACTGCGGGATGTGCATGAGAGCGAGCAGCACGCCCGCGCTGGTCACGGCGGTGTTCGCGACATTCAGCACGCGCAGCGTGTCGCACAGCGAGTTCCTGCTCTCGCAGTACTCCAGCAGCACGTCCCTCTCTTTGCCCCTGGACTTCGCGTTCTTCGTCTTCCACGTGGCGAGCAGCCTCTTGAGCCGCGACCAGCTCGTGCACTCCTGGGGCGACCGTATCCTCGATCCGTGTCCCGCGACCTTGTCCCGCAGCTCCACCTGCAGCAGCAGCTGCTTCAGCCCCGCGTCCGTCACCTGTCTCGAGCAGGCGACGTCCAGGATCACGAGCCCCGGGCAGGCCCTGCCGACGATCTGCAGCACCAGGTCGCTGGCGATATTCCGAAGCGTCAGACTCGACAGGCTCCTCATGTTCAGCAGCGCCGAGTGCAGCAGCTTGCAGTCGAGGCGCAGCAGGGCGGAGCGGGCGAGGTCGAGGGACTCGAGCCCGACGCCCTCCGAGGCGAGCAGCTTCAGCAGAAACGTCTGATGGCTGCAGCCGTAGTAGCAGCACAGGTGGACCCTCAGCCGCTTGATGTCGCGCGCGAGGAGCAGGGCGAGCAGATACACGGCGGTCGGCGGCGAGACGAGCGTCGACCCGTCGGCCGACGGGCTGCACAGCATTCTCAGCGTCTCCTCGATAACCTGGGAGCGCAAGTGAGCTGACAGTGCGTTCACGTAGTACGGCCTGATCGTGCGCTTCGCCAAGTCCAGCGCCTGAGCCGTGGACGACTGCTGCGAGAGCGTCTGCAGGCGCCGGCACGTCCCGTCGAGCTGCCGGCACACGCGTCCCAAACTAAGACCCTCCAGGGAATCAGGCTGACGGTTGCCGGGCATTTTCTTCTTGTCCGCTGAAACGTTTCCATGAGTTCGTTAGCTGCGAGCGGATAAATGCTTTGAATGATACAGCGAAAGAGTTTCTGCAAAAATTAGGCGTGCGGTTTTTTTATTCCAAACAATTATTTCCTCCGGCCGATCGCGGGCTATATTTGGACGACTGCCTGTCCGCGAGTCGCACATACGGTAGTATTCAGCGGATGCTAGATAAAAGATTATGTTACCGTATCCGTTTGCTCGCATAACTGCGAATTAATGTGCACAAGCGGAATGATAAACGGGAATTTTTTGTCTAATCTCGGTGAAGTATGCGATCGCTGAATTGCTATGCGCAACTCGCGAGCAGGCGGCTGCAAGTGCAATCGGTCAGCTTTAAGTGGCTCGTATTTCGGAAAATCGTGCGACCGTTCATTTGGAAGAAAGAGCGAATACTTGTTATTTGATTTTTCGAAAACCCGCACTATTTTAATTCGCGAACTCCGAGACACATTCTGGATGGAGTCGTTAGCACGTGCTCGCGAGTGAAACGCACGCGTGCGAACACGCTATTTATGGATGAATGCGCTCTCGCGAACTAGAAAGACGAGAGAAATGCTGTATGTCCATACTTCGGAACAAGTGAAACTCCTACGGGTGTCTCCTGAGCGATAGCTCGCGCTAGACTGCCGCGGCTCGCTGCTATCAGTCTTCCAATTGCTTTTTAGCGCGTGCGCCACGCATCAACATAACAAGCAAAGAGGAATATCATTACCCGACGCTGGCAGTGCGAGAAAGGACTGTTGAGCGTAAAGAATTGATGAATAAAGCTCGATATCTGTGAATAGCGATGTATTGATCTGTTTGGAAAAATTTTCAATTCTTTTTGTAGCAAAAAAAAACTTGGAACAACGCAATATTGTGGTTGCACGGAATTATTTTTTTGCATAATATAAGATTAGTGTAATATCGGTGCGCGATTGAGACAGCTGGATTGATTAGTAAATGAGCGATAAAAATATCGCGATATTTATTGACAATAATGAATCTGAAAATTCGATCTCTTGATTCTACGCGTGCATTAAAGTACTCCATCTGGCCTTCGCGGTTATCCGCTCGTTATCCTTGATCGGCGATGCGATATGTTGCTCACGTTCTGTGATACAAACGCGCGGATAAAACGAGCAAGTCGTATCAATGACTTCCTTCTAAGCGTTCTATTAGAATTTCAGATTATTGGTTTTACCAATCAGTCATCCATCGCTTAGCGCGTTTTCACAGGCGACTCGATTTTCGCTTCTTTTTTTATTCAAGTTTCTAAAGCGATGAAGATTAATTTATATCGCTGCGTCCAGGCACATTTCACATTTTTCTTCAAACTTGAATATATTTATTTTAAAGAATTCCTAGTAGAGTTTTCAACAATTTCAATAAATGATAATAATTTTATTCACCGCGGTAGCGTTTTAACCGGATTAGATTTACGAAAAGAAAGCATATCTTAGAACTTTAGTTGATAGACTGATTTTGAATCTTCACGACGGCAATTGATCAAGCGTCGCGTGATCTTGGCGATAATCGCAAAAGCGAAAGTTAGCAACATACTTTTCGACGAATTATGACGAATGACAACTGAGAATGCAGGTGTGGTCGAGTCATCAACATTTGAGGGTCATCATTGGCATAAAAGGTGCGTTGGAAAGACAACCGGTTGTGACCATCGCTAATGTGGCCAATGGCAATGACGCGTACACCGCACTCGAACAGTTTTCACTTCCTCCTTTAATTTTCTCATTAATTTCCGCGTGTCTCCGTTGCAGACAGATAAAGTATCGATTGACTCTGATCGTTTTTCTCCCCCCGATCGGCGTTCCGGCGCTTTATTTTCATAGAAACAAATTAAATTTTGTGCAATAAATTTATTCGATTTATTGAGAAACTTTCTTTGCAAGTTTATCGAGTGCGTACAGTTGAAAAAAGATTTAAGTGCAAGATCATTAAATTTTTACAATCTCACGAGATATGTATATGATGTATTCAAAAATGTATAAAAAAACATTTCTTATGATGTATAAAAATTAGATAAATTTGAATAAGCAGCAGCTGTATAATTAATAGCTACTGCAAATAGCAAATGCGCTACTAATTAGTAGACCTGCGTATTATTCTGACAAAAAGTTATCGGAAGGTCAACAAAACCGTCGGTGTATACGGATGTAATTTAAATATTACACACACGTACTGCGACTATGTTTCATGCTTCGTGCATTCATATTAGTGTGTGACACTCATAGAAATATGACAAAATATTACTGATTTAAATGACAATACTAGAAAGAGCTGAAATAAACAAGACGTAAATAAAAACGAAACATTTATCTGATAATTTAAAAAAACAATTTTTTTTTTTTAATTTTAAGTGACACGATGTTGAAGTATTAAGAAAATATGCACGCGCAATTAATTTTCTTTCCAAAATTATTCTTTATATCGTGAACATTTATCTGATAATTTAAAAAAAAACAATTTTTTTCAAAAATTCCAAGTGACACGATGTTGAAATATTAAGAAAATATGCACACGCAATTAATTTTCTTTCCAAAATTATTCTTTATATCGTGAACATTTATCTGATAATTTAAAAAAAAAACAATTTTTTTCAAAAATTCCAAGTGACACAATGTTGAAGTAATAAGAAAATATGCACGCGCAATTAATTTTGTTTCTAAAATTTTTTATATTGTGAAATAAACAGGACATTTCTCTGTTATCTTTAAAAATTGTTACGTTCCATGTCTTTGTTTTTAGGTGCCTATGAATGAAACAGACTTTAACATACTGTGGATGGGAAATCATCCAAAGCCTGATATCTTGCGGAATTTGATGCCTTATCAAAAAGTGAATCATTTTCCTAGGTAAAACCCACATACGTTGTTACAAAACTTTTTAACGATAAGTTAGAATTAATAATTTATATATAATTTATAAAAACTCGTGGACGATTTAACGAAGTAAGTTTTCGAAATGCTTAAAACATACACAGGATAAAATATTAATTGAGCATCAATTTGCACTTTATTAATCTTACTAATCTATAAAGTAAACAAAAATTTTACTCTATTTCTTGCTTTATTAATAATCTAATTTACTTTGTCCGCGCGAAAGAATCTCGTGAATATCACATAAGTGAAACAAACAAATCGATAGAATGTAATTCTAAAGCCTAGAATACAGTTTTACTTTATTATTTAAATGAATGTTAATTTTTCCTCTGATTCTATTGACAAAATTTCTCAGGTCTTACGAAATCACGCGTAAGGACCGGCTCTACAAAAACATCGAAGCTATGCAGAGGAGTAAAGGCCTACGCAATCTTGACTTTATACCTCAGACCTTTTTGCTACCCGCGGAAGTTAGAGAGTTGATTTCGGCGCATTTCAGATACAGAGGACCATGGATTGTGAAGCCTAAAGCCAGCTCACGAGGCCGTGGCATTTACATTGTCAACAACGTGAGATATTTTATCGCATTTACCATTCTTTTCTAAGATCTAATTCTAATTCTAAGATCAGTCTCGATTAATATGATGCATCAGAAAATTTTTGAACCGTGATTAGTGTTAATTAATGTTGATGACTAATGACGGCTGTATGTATAGAGCTCATTAACACGATGCTTGGCGAGGTCAAATCCTGACAATAAGAAACATTTTCCGGAACATTTTTTGAAGTAGACAAGAATACTCGATAATTTATTAATGATTTAATAATATAATGATGTGTTGTAGCTACGTAACGTGATTAATTTTACTAAATTATAGAGATTTAAAAAATTAACATATATATGTTACATTTGCTATTTTCAGGTTTTTGCAAAGTTGTTGCGATTAATGTGTGTTTTCAATTAATCACGTTGTAATGCGTGTCTCTTATCTTGCGCATTGAACTGTCTAAAGGCCTTAATATTGCACTAGGTTGGAGCTTTATTGTACTTTTAAAGGAATAAGTGTTATAAATTTCTGTTTATTGCACTCGATGCTTGTGTGTTCGATGTGTGTTCTATTTGGACAAAATTGCCAAGTTTACTGCAATTTTCTGGAATAACGAGATTTGTTTCTTAACCGGAAGCTAGCATCTAAATGCGCCTATACATAAATCTGGCTTTGACGCTTGGGCTGCGTTAGTTGAACATGAAATTCAGTAGCTTTGAAACTGATAAACTTGGCTAAGCGCAACGCTATTTTTCACTATCTCCATCCAATTGTTCACTCTATATTGTTATAGCCTGAGAAGATTCTAACAGACGAATCGGTTATCGTGGCACAATACATAAATAACCCGCTTTTAGTCGACGGACACAAGTGCGATCTGCGCCTCTACGTGGCCGTAACGAATTACGATCCCCTGCTAATTTATTTATACGAGGAAGGCTTAGTGAGATTCGCAGCTGTTAAATATGACGGCGGGAACCAATATATCTGGAATCCTTGCATGCACCTTTGCAACTACAGTATAAACAAATTCCACGTGGATTATGTAAAGTAAGTTATAAACGAGTACAGTTAGTACGAATTAAGATTTATTTAAAGAAATCACGAGAGCCGAAACAATTCGCTAAAGGCGCTAATAGCAAAGTCATTAACCAGTTGAGTGGTAATGTATCATATATGTACAAAAAAAAAAGTGCCAAACGTGGTAATGTATCATATATGTACATTTCTAAATAACTCCACTAATTTTCAACAGATTCGCATAAAACTTGATATCCTAAGGTTTTTTGGGCTGCTGAATTCGAATCTGTTGTCAAAATTGCAAATTTCAAAATGGCGGATCCAATATGGCGACTGTTAATTGTTAAAAGACTAAAATATTGGAGTTAGGTAAAATATGTATAAGACCTTATTTGTAGAGCTTTTTATGAGCTTCATTTTTTGTTTGACAACTTTTTCCGTACAATGAATACTTTCTGAAATAATTAACAAAAACAGTTTTATTTTTGAACCTTTGAGGGGGGGCTGGGGGGCGGAGGGGGCATTTGCGCCAAAAATCCATTTGGGAATATTATTTACTAGATAAAATAAGTATTTAGGCTGAATATAAGCCAAATCGGAGGTGATAGCTTTTCGGAAGTCTATCCCCTTTTTTTGATCCACCTCCACTTTTGACTGGAAAGTCGTAGTAAACATTTTCAAAAATCATTGTTCTTGTCTTGAAACGCCCTTTCAAATGATTTCCACTCGACCCATAGTGCCATTTAACATTTTGCACCCCTATTCTGCCCCCCCCCCTTCCCCAGGGCGTTGCTTTTTCGAAAACTTTGAACCCATGTTTCACCGTTTTTCGATATTTTAACTTTTGGCTTTTACCACTTTTGGCACAAATCTTTCGGAAAAGTCTACCACTCAACTGGTTAAGCTTCGCGGGTGAACTTTGCGGCGAGAAGCTTGCTTAGACACAATTTCCCTTGACGAGTTTTCGCTTTCGCTTAGCCTTTTTGGCCTCGCTGAAAGTTTTCAAACGACTGTTCCAGCGTTGTGATGCGAACAATAGTACAAATATTGCGCAATATTAGAAAAATAGTTGAGAAAAAGCGAAGCATCCGATGAGCGAATAAGATGGGAAGGGATGGGTAGCGAGAGTAGTTGAAAACAGGATGTAGAAAGGCGCAAATAGAACGTGAAGGAGGGAGAATTAGGGAAATAAAAGAACAGATCGTGCCTGTGGCACGAATAAAATAAGCGTCGCTGTGAACCGAGATTATGTGTATAATACGTGTGTCTCTAAATGACCAGGAGCGAGGATCCCGATGCCGAGGACGTGGGACACAAGTGGACGCTGTCGGCATTGCTCAGGCACTTGCGAGTGAAGGGCCAAGACACGGAACTGCTGATGCAGCGAATAGAAGATATTATCATAAAATCGATCCTCGCCACCGCATCCGGAATTGTCAGTGGCGTGAAGCAGTTCGTCAAACATCCCGACGCATGTTTCGGTTAATAATTTACGATTTTTCTCACTACACGTGTGCGACACGATCGGCTTCTTTAAGCATAATCCATGATCCAGATATTGTTTTTTTTTATTCTAGAACTATTTGGATTTGATATACTAATCGACGACACGCTGAAGCCGTGGCTGTTGGAAGTGAATTTGAGCCCTTCATTGGGATGCGATTCCCCGCTGGATGTTAGACTCAAATCAGCTTTAATCTCAGACTTGCTCACTCTCGTCGGCCTACCCGCCGTGGATCCGATTCTGCGTTCTCAAAATTTAAACCGCGCTGCCATTAATGCCAATAAAAAGATAACTAGTGTGAGTTGTTTTTCTAGATATCTTTTCGTCCAATTTTTCTTCATTCCTTCAACTCCCATCTGTATGGAATTTTTTGAGCATTAACTTTGTTAAAGTAGATCAACGAGTGAGATAAATTGTACATCAAATAGATAGTAATTGTTTTATTATTAAAATTTATTTTATCGTCTTACAAGATGTAAAAGTTGGGAGTTGAAAGGTTAAAGAATATTGAATCGAAGAACGATGAGTAGATTAAACAGACGTTTGTGTGCTTTCATTTTAGTATAGAAGAGTACAGTCCGCGGAGACATTGCCTCAAGGAAGGAAGAACGCTAATAGGAATAATAAAAATAAAACGGGTCTAAGCTCAGAGCAGCAGCGAATAGTGGCGTCTGCTAAAGCGCAATTCGAAAGGAGAGGCGGATTTGTTAGAATATTTCCAAGTCCAAAGTCTTGGGAGCTCTACTCGCAATATCTAGGTAAATGCAGTTTTCTATTTGACAGCAAACTTGTACATAAATGAAAATATCGGAGCTGACATGTCTAAAGACGAATCATAATTTTAGATCCGATCACAGGTGCGCCGATGGTATCGGATCCACTTGGTTCAAGAAGATTAGGGCAATATGTTAACACAAACCACAATTTAATGTTGCACGAACAATTGTTTCCCGCGGTCTGTCATGTTACTGGCTATATTATTCCGGAAGTAACATTAGACAGATTATCCAGGTACATTACTTCACAGAACTAATACTTGACGAGATTATAATATATAGTAGTGTATAAAAATAAATATTTAAGATAGCTGACGTAAAATTCAGATATAATTATCGCGAATTCGGCATCAAAACTTGTTTTGTAATGTATTCTACAGTTTTATTCATGCGGAAACTTTAAATTCACAAAAGCGTTGGTGCGATATTTAATTATAGGTATGAAAGATACGAAAGAGCATTAGTGAAAGGTCACAAGCAGAGTCTGGACAAAGGAAATAAGGAAAACTTAGATGTAGATATGCACAAGTATAAGAGTCAAGTAATACAAGCAATGCAAGAAGGCAATAAACTCAGGTTTGTTATTAAAAATTGTATCTGGATGTCGATTATCTAGAAATATTTTGTGTCTTGTCTGTTTTTTTTTTTTTGTATATAAACGCAAATATTGAACCAAACAAACAACATTTCAGTCCTGGCGAAGCGAGGAAGGCCTTTGGTTTATATTTAGGTTGCGTATTACGGAAAATATCACAGCCTAATGCAGATTTGGCGTGCTGCGATCTTGTTATGAAGTTTCTTCAGCATTCCTCCTGCAGTTTGAGAACACCATTTCTATTCACTGTATGTATTTGCGCGTGATAACTCTATTTACAGCTTATTACACATTGAACAAAATTATTCTGCTGAATAATTTAATCGATCACAGTTTAAATTTTTAGTTAAATTAGTTTTAAGCACGCGATTTCTCTCTGTCAGATTGTTATAATGCATGAATATATTACTTTTATAATAAAAGAAGAGAGAAACTATTGTTTTCACTACAGAGAGAAAGAGGGAGAAATCAAGATTAATTGGATGATTTAAATTAACAATTTTTCCCGCAGCTTCCGTGCAGTAAATTAAGCGACAAGGACCGGGCTGCCATTACCGCAAAACAACTCTCCGATTTTTTGCATCTGTACAATAGAGAAACGGACCTTTACGAAGATACTGTAGATCGGCCTCGTACTGTTCCTAATAAACTCTTTCAAAAGTTTTTGGCTGCTGCAAGGTACTTGATTAATTCTTAATATATAACTTTCTCGACCTGCTGTGAAATTACGTGATATAAAAACCACTATCTGTTCTAAAATAAAATGAAAGTAAATATCGCCGCACATTTTGTTCGCGTGATGTTCAAAAATTAACAATGCAAGCTGTATAAGCCGAAATTAAAAAAAAAAATGCAGCATTTAAAATTGAAGTGCGATACGATTGTGTTACAGCGAGCAGGATCTCGACGATGTGCTAATCCTGCAAACTCGCCTTTACAAATGCGCGCACAGCTTTCTGGGAAAGAGCGGTTTCGCCGGCCATCTACGCGGTGCTAATCTTCTCGGGTCTCTGCCGCACATCACGTCACGAGTGTATTCCAATGCTGCCGCAACAGAGCAATGCAGGTGTAATAATCCAATTAATAGGTAATTCAATTATCACATTTTACAACTTTTACATACCGCAAAGAGGGGGAAGAAGAGAAAACGAAGACGGAGTAACCGTATTATGTATAATTATCTCTAGTCTATCAGAGTTACATCCGTTCTTTAAGGTTGTTGAGTCAGTTGCTATATTAGGATAATTTAATACCAATTACTCTCGCGCGTCGATACTCCAACGAATCTTTCTTACGTACAGCATTGAAAGCGTAATTGCGAGGAGGAATGATACAAGTGACTCTCAAAGTGCTTTGATATTTGCGAATGCAATAAATTTAATGAAAATCACGATACAGTGCCCTGCGAAATAGCGATAAAGCGAGGGAGAAATTAACAATCATATCATTACTGTTGTTACGAAGTAATGGTAATTTAGATATGATCAGGGTGCGAAGTGGATGAGATTAGTCATTTCTTAATATATTGAGAGACTCTTGATTCGATTAAAGTTTCAGCTTTTATCAGCTTTCACCAGGTATATCAAAACCTCCGTTCTTAATGTTATCGATGGATGAAAATTCACCCGGATTTCCTTCTTAAAATTGAAGAGGACCATCGTTTGTCGCAGAGTTTTAAGACGACTTGAGTTTTAGTTTAACGATAAAGTTTTATTATTTAATTGCATTTTAGAATTTTAACGTGAGGAAAAAAAAACTGATACGGTTGTCATTGAATTACCAGCAATACAAAAGTTAGTGCCTTGACATACTATTAAAGAAAAAAAATCGACGCCAATTGTTTCAATTTGTCTCTCGAAGTAAGGACGGAGCTTTTGCTGCAATCAAGATCCCCTTGAGATAGGCGGAAAAAAAATTGTTTCGAGTTTGGATCGCGTAATGAGTTGTATATCGATCACAAGATAAGCATGCAAAGTTTTGATGGATCCGTCGGATAAATAACGGATCGATTTCACTTGGATATTTTCCATCTAGACATCGAAAATTTTAGCGAACAAACGATTCAAAGCTTAACAAATGTGGATGTTTTATTGAAGTTTTTTTTTTATCATCTTTTAATACACACAGAATATTAGGTTGAAATTTTGCATGCTTATTTTGAAAATCTAAGGTTATCGTGTTCTTAAAAAAGATCTCTTGTAAGTCTTTGTTATAATGCATCATGTTTTTACTGGTTTCGTGAGTTGAGTTTTTTTGTTGAATCCAATAATTATTAGAGAAAACTTTGCAAAAAGGTTTTCCTGATTTATCGACAAATAACGTTCTATATTTAAAAAGAGATTAATTTCTTAACTAGTCTATAATGTGTAAAATATATTTGTTTTTTTTTTTTTTTTTTACTATGTCGTAAAGTTGTGATTGCAATTATTGTATAATTGCAATTATACGTAATATATGTTTTCTATGCGACTAATATGCGGCTTAAATAAAAAAAATCATATAGATAAACTTATATATATTGCTTAATCTCTTTACATTTTATTATTTCATAATTTTTCAGTGTGATACAAGATTCTCAAATATTTAATCCAAATTTATAATATAAAACCAAATATAAGTGTCAAAAATTTTCTATCAGAAATGATGAATAAAAAGTTAGAAGTTAATTAGTTACATCGATAGCTTGGGAAAGAAAAAACTATTTTGGTCAATCTTTTAACATAAATCGATCTTTAATATATAATAGTTAAACAATATTTTTGTGCATTTTTTCTTTGCATTTTAAATAGCTGAAGAAGCTTCAGAATTATGTGATAAAAATAATTGTGTCAGCCTGCATTTATCAGCGTGAAGATCATGTTCCTATCTTCTATGCGAATTTGAAAATATTACAGTAATTTCCACCTGCTATATATTTCTGCATCTAGTCACAAGTAATAGTATAAGACTTTACATTATAACATTATTGACAATCATATTAAGGAAACTCTAACATTATTTAAATGGTTTAATTTAATATATCGAAGACAATGGTTCTAACATGATTTATTTATTATTTTACTTTAGATATAAATCAATTGTGTCGTATTTACGATTTACAATTAAAGTATATTTCTAATAGCCTCAGGTCGACTAAAATATGTGCGGATTAAGATAAAGTACATTTTTAAGGCTTGTAACCAATAGTTATTGCAAAAAATTATTCAAATTTTGGTCAGTATTTTTAACAAATAGTGTTTAATGAAAATTATTAGGATTTATTTAAAGCATTTTCAACGTTCTTCTTAATAATGGCTTGTAAAAATATAAATCAATATTCTTTCGAAGTAACTAATCAGGATTAATTTAATATTTTTTTATAAGAAAAATTGTAGAAATAATATCATTAAGTTAATTATTTTAAAAAAAATTATTCTTCAGAAATTACACTTGACAAAAGTTGACTAACCACACATTTATTAAAGAAAATATTGACCAAACATATAGATTTCTATTTTTAATAAGACCAATAGAAAATATTTTATGTGTAAATCACATTCGTAACAGCAAATTTATGGGCTTGAATAAATTCGCAGTTAACTAATACGAACATCGTTACCATTGTTATTATATTTTTAGCGTTATAATATTTCAAAAATGTCGTATGAAATGTACAATCCGCCCTTGGCAAGTTCGAGTTCGATAAGTTGAATGTTTTTTTGATAAACAAATAACCATATCATTAGAGAGTGATATTCCATCCACGCTGGATATTCCGACAATATTCATATTTATAACCATTCACATTAAAGCTTCCAAAGAAGTATTTATATTTGTACAATTAAATAGGCTATAATGCTTACACAAACTGTGCGCGGCTTCAATTTTATTCACTCCCTGTGATACGGTGCCGTTCAATGGCTCACTAATACATAGTTCTCTCTGTAAGATAAATGAATCAAAATAAATTGGAAAGAAATTACGTCTCTGAAGTTGAACGTCTGATCTGTAAAACCAGAACTGCTTCAAATTAATTCTTTTTCTTCTATTGCATCTTTTTGCATCTCTCTCTTTTCGATTGTTAATTTGAAGCTTGTGTAAGGATGATTCAAAACAATCTGATGTCTTTGAAATGTCATATTCATCGTCCTTTGAAAACGATTTTTCCTTTTGCAAAAACTAAGCTTCGGACGAAATTTTGCAAAGGGAAAAATTATCTTAGAAATCGCTCAAGACATTTCAAGAACGTCAAGATTGTTTTGAATCACTCTGTATACACTTTTGCAATTACTATTACATTTTCATTAAGGATTATCTTCAATTTTCTGTTTGCAAAATGTACATACGCATGAATGTTTCGATAAGTGCTTTCTATTTTGATTCTCTTATTTATCCAAAATCTGATTTAACTAACTTTGTTTACGCATGTCGCATGAATTCTTCTAAAGAAGTGCTTTTTTCTTAGTTCCAGATTACATCTGAAAAGGATCTTAAGAAATAGGTACGAATAGATTAGACAGACAAGAGCGTCGAGCACTTTTCTCCATACACATCGCTATGTCTTTTCTTCCAGTATTCGATTTTATTGAGTATTAAACAGCTTGGACGGAAACTGTCGGAAAGGTGCAGTGAAATCCGTAGACGAGAGTGCGCTCTGATTATAACTGTGAGTGCAGACACACATTGTACATTGTTAAGAAATCTATCTGTTCGTGTGTATATATATTGTACTGGTGTTCGAAAATTTTTCAGACGATTCATTAGTTTCCACTGTTCGAAATGCTCGAATCTCTTTTCCAATTCGAACCGTTTGAACAGATCGAACGTATATATATATATCTCCATATCTTTTGTCCTCAACATACACTGTGCTAGCAGTTGCAGCTCTCACATAGAATTTTACGCAACAATCAAAAACACGAACTTCAAGCTTAAAATATCACAAACTAATATAGGATTAACTTGATCACACCAATTTGTGTTCCAAGCAGAAAATCACGTAAATAAACTGTTTTACTCGCGAGCACTTGCGCTTCTCACGATTCTTCCTCATTGTCTCTTTGAATTCACGCCAGGATGCCTTATGCGTGGGATTTTTCGGACCCCACTCAGACGAAGGGCTAAAGGCTGCCTTCAACATCTGCAGACAACAAATTTAAGCATTCAAAATCACGTTCAAATAGGATTGAACTCGGTCGATTCTCACTTTCTCATATTTATACTTTTTTTTTCTAGTAAATATACTCAGCGATTACCTTGGATAGTCCTAAATTTCTTTTCGACAGTATGATGTAAATCATCCAGAATGGCACCTGAAGCGCACCGAAGGCGAATAATATCCAGCCGGCAACTGCAATTCCATTTTCCATTAAGTAAATCTAATTCACAGCAAACTATATTCAGCGAAATTATACATAGAACTTCGAGAATCTAGCTTAATTCGATTTTTATAATCACAAAGACAAGCTTCTACTGAAAAGGATGACGAAAAAAGCCTGAAAGCATGGGATGAAAGGATTCTTTTCGACATAGAGATCATTTTGCGCCTTCAGCCGATGCCGACTATCCCTTTCACTCGCTGCACAGTCGCTGGACAACTGGTGTTATCCAGTGCGATTAGTAATTAAGCCTTTCATCTATTCCGTGACCTCAAAGTGGGTCAGCACATTAAACACGCGCTTTTATATCGCTAAATTTTCGCACCACACGCATCAAGGAATGTATATTCAAACTTTCACACTCCTTTTGTGAAGTAACTTTACAAAATCTACAAAGAGGATGTCTTTTCCAAAAGGAATACAAACGAACAAATACCAACCGTACGCGGTAAACGGATAGAATATGTCGCCGTAAGTCAACGGCTTTAAATTGATAACGCTGTAAATGAGAATTCCTGCGAGTAAAAGCGGCGTGATTATCACCCAGCAGACTCTCCAGTAGACCGACGGCCGTTTCCGCAACATATACTCGACGTCGTCCAGAAAGTTCTCCAGCCCGTACACCCAAAATATGCCGCTCACTTCCAGCGTGGCCAGGAAAAAGATGATAAACGATCCTGCGTAGAAATCCACCAGACTTAACAAGAACTGGCCACCCTGCACATATGTATAATCGATGTTTACTTTTACGTGTAAGAAATATCAATTTCAAGTGAAAAGAGTAAATAAGAGCCGTTGATGGACGAGCAAAATCAGATAAATCTGGTTTATTATAAGAAATATATTCATCGAACGTTTCGATCACTAATCGGGCTTTCATCGATGAAACAAAATCCTCGGAGCAAGAGTAGAATTACAGGAAAAGGCTTTTGTTTGCTCTTCTCACTTTGGATCTCGTACTCGAGAATTTTATTCTACTTCGGTTTCTGGATATGAAAAGTCTACGAATTTCGCGTGTGAAGAAAAGTTTAAAATCAAATTCAAAGTAGATCCATTTTTAAATGCAGCATTGCGATTATTTACCGGCGTGCAATAAAGAGTGCCGATGGAGAAGCCGAATACGGCTGTTCCAAGAGCCACGTGCCAGTATTTCCACGTCGGAAATTGATCGCATATGACAGTGTTAATGGCACCGATGTTCGCAACGGCGCTGCCAATTCCCAGAACGTATAACATTAGGAAGAAGAGCACCGAGAACAGCTGAAAGCAAAATAGTTAAATGTTTCTGTAAAATAAACTTCTTAAACAGCTAATTTTAGATACAATGTTATTGTAAAGTACATTGAACATCCTGATACTCGGCAAGTGGAATAAATTAAACTAAAGATTCAATTTGACTTGATTTTCGAGTCGGAGAATCCTTCGTTCAAGATTACAAATTGCAAAGTATCCTCTATTATCATTCATCGTCGCAATTATATTCTTGTATTTGTGCACGGATAATGATCTTTACTTGAGGCAGGAAACTGAATTTTGCTATAGCGTCCGGATAGGAGATGAAAGCAAGGCCAGTTCCGCTGCGTACAACGCTGCTAATGTCATCGGTGCCAATTTCGTGCGCCAGATTGCCGAGTATGCCAAAAATGGTGAAGCCCGCTATCAGACTCGTTAATGTGTCGAGTGTGGTCACAACTATGACGTCTCTGAAGAAACAAACAAGTTGATGAACAAATCGATCCTCCCGAGTCTACGCGCGTCTACGCGAAACAAAGCTCCGTTGTTTAGGAAAGGAAGTAAACCTGTAAATATTGTGGTTGAAGTCGTTGTAAGATGAGTACATGACTACACCGCCGAAGCAGACGGACAGTGAAAAGAAGCACTGCGTGACGGCGGCGTACCAGACATCTGGCTCGAACAGCTTCTCCCAGTTGGGCTTAATGAAGAAAACGATTCCATTTATCGCGCCCTCCAAGGTCGCTGCTTTGATCAGCAAGCAAATCATCACGATATACGGAAATATGGCGAGAAAGTAGGCTGCCTTTCCGGAGGTCTTCACGCCGCGCGCTAACACGCCGCAGATGCAGCCCCAAGCAATCAACAGACATATTGTCAGTTGCCAGTTTGGGAGACCCACGCCGTCCTCGATGTTCTCTTTCTCGTCTAGCACTCCTTTTCTGCACAGATCAAGCAATAAAAAGTAAGTTTTTATCGAGAAGATAAATTAGCAAAAAGATTGACTGATGAAATTCGATCCAAAAAATTCTATTCTTCTTTTGCAAACAAAAAATGTTTAATTCCACTGTTATTCGTGCATTCATTATGTTAACAGTGAAGAGAAATCTCTTTTACACTTGTAACAGTTTATTATCATGTGAAGACTTACGAAAAATAAAGTTCAGCGGAACTTCTCATTACGCTGCTGTTACGTACGGTGGTGTTGTCCGCTTTAGACGAATCCACACAATTATCTCCCCATTCTATCAAACATCTTGACCACGGAAGCTGCGACGCGAAGCTTTGCAGCAGGTAGAATAGAGTGAGTGCCATCAGTGAACAGTAATAAGTGCTGACAGCAGTCAGTGAATATATTTGTGCCCAACCGACGCCTTGTAGTCCCGGAACTGAATTAGAAATTTCACTATTACCGTTGATAAATAACTGATTGTAGTTCAGATATCCTAACCCCCAAATATCGAATTAAAAATGTTTCACTTAGGCCGTTTTTCAGTGCACCCTCTTCTTCAGTTTAATAGAAAAGTATTTAAGGTATAAAAGAGTCAGGAATGTCAATGTTACGTCGATCTGTTTCAGATTTGATAAACTTATCTCAATTTTTTATTTGCAATCATGATTCATTTTATAATTTATTTTGTTTAACTTATTGCTAGATAAGACGTTTGTTTGTAGATCAGAGTCTGCATAATTGTGTTTGTTCTATAAACAATGCTCGAAGCGGCCGAGAGAAGACTCTAGAGCGACAAGCTTGATAAAAAAAAGGAGGTGTAATTAGTTGAAAGGCAATAAAAAAATACCTGACTGTTTCTAAACGAGGTAAAGCAACGCTGTTCCAATTAAGTCAGTTGTCCGATTTGGATCCCTTTGTATAATTCTATGTTCAATTATCGGCTTACATACAATCAGTTCTGAATATATAACGTAAATAATAAATAATTAAGAAGCTCTTGTCGAAAATGTAAAATTTTTAAAGGAAGAAACATTTTTTAGCTTCTTTATATTGTTTGATTAATCTTTTAAAATTTTTTATTTACAATTTAGAACACTAAAAAGTGAAGAGACTTTGATAATTTTATAAAATTTGGACTCGATTAAGTAAACCCACGAATTTTAGAACTATTTTTTTGTAGACTCAACGAGAGCTTAGCACTGAATTACGAATTTTTTTTTAAAAATGTTTAAAGATATGCATTCACGCTGCTGATCTTGCCTCGAATTATTCGAAAGCTGGTAATTTAATTTTTGAAATTCACGACAACAGGACTGTTTTGATACCCAAACTTTCATCTATGATAATATAATATTATTTGTTATTCCTTTACCAGCGTGCCATATTTTCACGGAAGAACTGCTGCTAAACTGGCCCATTATCATTTCTAAGTAGTAAAACGGCTTTCCCACCAGGAAAAGCACGAGAATATACGGAATTAGGAAAGCACCACCGCCGTTTTCATACGCCGTAAATGGAAATCTCCAAATGTTGCCGAGTCCAATAGACATCGCAATGCAGGACAACAAAAACTCTATACCGTTTCCCCAGGTGGCTCTCTTCTTTCCCTTTTCCGCTATAATCTGCGAATAAATTTACATAATAGCTTATTAAAATTCTGCTTTGAATACAAAAAATTTCTCTTAAAGCTGTGAAAGTGTGTGTTGAAAGCATACCATTTCTTCTGGCAACAATAACGACAACGGTTTTAATTTTTTATTACTTGGCGTTTGGTAATCACAATTAGACCCATCGTTATTCTGTAACAGAAAATCCAAAAGTCTACTGGAGTTTTATTTTAAGAATTTTTAATTCCACAGCAATGCAAGGACTTAAATGCGTAATCGATTGATCTTCAATTTAAAAATATATCCAAAATTAGGGATTTAATAATAGCTTCTGCGGGTTTAAGTATTGAAATTATATAATGTGTTTCTTCATAAATTTATAATAGTTGAATAAATTATCTCGTACTGTTCCGAGAATTTGTTTCAAATTCTTTTCCTTATTGGTGTGGTGACTGTCAGCAACGAAGGCTGGATTGTCTCTTCCATCCTGCAAGCAAACAATTATTTTATTACTTTAAAACGTTAATGTAAACTATGATAAGCAAATGCAAGTCGCATCAATTTCAGCTCAGATTAGATAACTGTGATTGAACTCTTTCTCTTTTTTTTACGCAACACATAGGTAGAGACAGCAAATTATACTAATTAGAATTAAAGCTAAGTGGCAAAAACTGCTTTTAAATCTTCACATTTGTTAATGCTTGTTGGTTTATTCTAAATTTTTCATATCGACAATTCTTTATTGTCACATTCGCAGTTAAGCAATGCGTGAAGGTCTCATCTTTCAATACTTATTTGTTCATTATATGATGATACAACATTCTGTAATATTTTAAAGCAGCTGCGAACACAGACACGGAACACAGATGGAAATTAAATTGTAATTTAATTTTAACCTACGGAGCCGAATATTAGCATTGTTGGCAGATTGATAGCAAATTTCATTAAATTTAATTATTGCTAACATTTGCTTGCTTGGAACGAAGGCGTAGTTAAGACTCCTTATCGTTGCAATCAAATTGGATTATGACGTCAGAAGCAAAAAATAAATATTTTTTTGTACTAAATACGTTGAAACAAATTAAATTTCTTTCACGTTATTTTATTCGTGCACGATAATAGTATAAATTAGCGCTAAAATTTTTCCTTCCTTTCCTCGAGCCAACGTATCTCTTTTGATCTTTTTTCATTTATCTTATAAATAACACAATTAGTAATTCCACGCATTTTTAATTCTCATATTTTCTGCTGCAACTCGTTATTCAATATGTTGACCCTATTCCTTATACGCAACATGACACGAATTTGGAGGACGTTATAGAAGTGAAAGGAAAGATAGATGTCTCGGTTTAGTCTCATGATTATTTTATAAAGGATTGTTGCGAGCAGGTTTCGATATCCTGGACACGTAAGAGATTTACCTGTTTGCAAACTGTAATAAAAATTTATCAAAATATCAAGTGCAAACTTTAATAAAAATCTATAAAAGTATTGAGTGATTCTAGCAACTAAACTAAAATGCGTTCCTGCATTCTTTTACGTTGAACATTACTGCCTTCTTTTAATTCATCCAGTCTTTGCAATATGTAAAAAAATGTTTTAAACAATTATTAAAATATTCGCGGAAACATTCTCTCGAAACGTGTGCAAATATTCATAAAAGCGTCAACTAGCAAATGTAGCATTATATCTTTTTTCAATGAGAAACTTGATAGTTTTACAAGAAGACGTAAAATTATATTATTAAAATTATTAGAATATAATAAAATATGTTTATACTATTTTCATATGAAAATTAGTGAGTTTTCTCAAACGTCTGTCAGAATATTGTATTGGAGACATGTGAATTCAAGCTATTATACAGAACAAATATTGAAAATAAACTAACATTGATATTATGATTGATTGAAATTGATTGGTCGAATCAATTGATCGATCTAATCCCTAATTCTTGATCTCAAATACAGTATTCATGTTCAGCTTTGTAGATTTTATAAATGCTTACCTTTTCCATCTTTCGGATAATAAATAAAAGACGTTATTTCAAAACGATGCACTAACACTCAGAACTACATAACAATAAAACAAGAATTAGAAAATTATAAAATAAATATATATATATATGTATTGTTACAAAATATATATATATATATATATATATATGTATTGTTTGAATAGTGATAAACGTGTTTCCAGTATAGCCGACAATCTTGGTATAACTGACAATACTCACTCCGAGATTCAACAGACTACTGAGTGAACGCGAATCATAGTGTAAGAATCAGTAAGAATTGCAGTATCGATACTCAAAGTAGGGAAGGCTGCACAATTAACACGAACTATGGATCACGTGAATTGTGATCAAAATAGACGCGGGAGGGAATTTTCTTAGCCGAGGATTTGGAGAGCTCTAAAACTGATAAACAATGTAAATAATGAGTTATCTAAACGAGATGTTTGTCGAAATCAGAAATAAATTTTTTTTTAATTTATTACTTAATAGAGAGAAAGCACTGATACTGACAAATCGTTGGGCTTTATTTCTTGGCTAAAAGCTTAAGATATAAATTTATGAACACAGATACATACTGGACACTTCTTTATTAGATGTATCATAGTTTTTCATAATGTTTTCAGTTTTCAAGGAAGTGAATATAATATTTTGTGTATAAACATTCAGTTGAGAAATTGGATTTCAAAACCAACAGGTCCATTAAAAATTAGAGAATACAAAAGGAAATATATATGGAAATGTATGCACACTGTAACTTAAATTGTTAAATGATACAAATTTATTTAAAATTAAATTATATATTTTTTCTTTCATGTAAAATTTTTAGCACTGTTCTAAACATACTTTTCTCTTAATTGTTTATTTATGAAAACAAAAATCTATAACAATGTAGAGTATTATTGAAGAATAAAGCTTACACATTTTGTTTGGTTTTTGATATCTCGTTAAGGAACAATTTTGAAAGGAATAAAATATATTAGGTATAAACCTGTTTTGATGAATTTCTAATAAATGTCATAATTGATGCAATTTTATGATACATCCATTAAAAATCAATCAAAATTTTTGCACCCATCCAATACTTTTTGTTTTCTCTTCCTGCTTCACATTTGCTTGATTACATAATCACATTTAAAACAATAGAGACGAGAGAAGAAATGGCACAGCTGAGAATCAATGGTATTTTTTAAAATGTTTATTTTAATGATTAAATCATTTACAAAAAAATTCATAATAATCAGATACATAAATAATAGATAACAGGACTAAATTTAAAAAAATAATATTCTGAACTATACTTAACTTAACATAAGTGTATTTTAAATTCAATATCTTAAGTAAAAGAGGTGAAATTGACATTTACTTACAAACTATGTATTCATTAAAAAATATTAAGCAAACTTGTTTTTACTGAGAACTTCTCTCATAGTTTTTTCCAAGGATGGCAGTAACTCGCAATACGTGTCCACACATTTAGTTGCACACTTTTCAAACTCGTCGCTATACCTGTCCACTTGTGCTTGTGTCGGATTCAAGCCCATTTTATCTTTTATATTATCATTGCACTCCATTATACATCTTTCCAAACGATTCTAGAAAATAATTTATCTTAAAACCCACAGAAAAAAATATATTTAAAATTAAAAAAATGTTTTAAAAATGTTTTACGCTATTATTTATACCGCTTTCTTATAGTTATACATTGTTTGGTATGTTTTCATATATCTTTTAGCGATACAAACCGCAGAACAATTATAAAAAGAAATGAAACAAGTTTTGTTACCTGTACTCGTACAAACTCATTTTGAACATATTGTTGTGCCTTATGTAAGGAAGAACTACAATTCTCTATACAGTGATGTATTTTTTGTATGCTGTATGTCTCATTCTCACAGCATTGTGCAGCGCACCTGTGCATATCTCCCTAAAACAGAAAATAACTTTATACTTAAATTTGAAATGAGCGGAATAAGATAAAAGTTGATTGATATTTTTCAAAATATATACAACAAAATATTTATGTGTACATGTTGTGTATGGTTTAAGACTTAAGATTTAAGAATTGAAGACACCTGCATTTTCCGTAAATGCGTTTTATCAATCCCTTCGACCACTTTCGTCATATGATCTTCCACTCGTTTCTTTTGTTCTTCCATTTTTCTTTATTATTCGTTACGTAAAATATAAAATATGCAACACTATAATGTGAAATTTAACCTAGTTAATAGAGAAGAAAAGCACATGCGACACTTAGTTACGTCACGAGTTTTACCATTGACAAAATAATATTCGATAAATTCGATGCACGCAAGGTACCTAATCCAGTAACGCCAGATTCAAGACGCAAACACGAGGGAGGAAATGACACGTGAGCTCCGCGCTCATGCTGTCTGCGTCTCAAATCTGGCCTCTCGCCTAATCTCATCCAATGATATAATTTATGGCCACATCAATCGGCTTTAGCCTATCCGGTGCCGGAATTATAAGAAAAAGCGGAAGAATCAGTTTCTTCTCGTTTGTTTGTGTTCAAGTTGGTTTAAAAAACTAAGATGTGGAACGATGTTATCTATGTGCTGTTATTGCTACTTTCTATAGCAATCGGTCCTTTTTATCGCAAAGTGGAAGGACCGCATACAAAACAATGGCTTGCAACCATCCTTGGCTTCATATTAGTGATCTGTGTCTCAGGAACATCTGTCGTGCATCCTATCATCACTGTCCTCGTCAATGCAGTTATCATAACCAACTTGTCATGGAAGTATGAATTTATTTTCAAATCAATTTGGTAAATATTTGGACTTAGCGATTTTCTGATCGATTTCAATGAAATCACGACCACAGTCGTGTTTCCTCAAGTATCACGCATAGTGAGCAATGAGATGGACTTTGCATTGTGCTTCTTAAATAAGATAATTTGAATTTATCATATCTTGTAATTGAGAAATTTATATATAAAATTGATAAGAAGTACCGAAAATCCTAGTAATTAGTTTCGTTCAGTAATAAATAATAATTCAGGACAAAATAGAAACCATATATTTTATATTTTCAGTGAAACATACTTTCTCCAACTCTTCTCTGAGAAAAAATTGTCAATTTTTAAGTTAATTTATTGAAATATAAAATTATCCATGTTTTTTCTAATTCTGCCACATGTAACACATTTATTGAGATAAACACCAACTTTTGCAGAAAATGTCATCTAGTCAGCTTATATTTCTCCTTCTTCTACTTATTGGTGATCTTTCGATTGGGTGACTATTTTGGATTACCAAGCGTACCGACGCACACCAATCTCGTTGTAATGATACTCACATTGAAGCTACCTGGATTAGCGTTTGAAATTAATTCAGCAGCTACAGCGTCAGCCGATGATACCCAAGGAACAAACTCGGATGCACTCAAGAGAATTGGTTTCATGGATGTAATACATTACAGCTTCGGTTATATGGGTGTTTTAACAGGTAACAAATTAATGAACGTAACGAAGACAATCTGGAAACATTCTCAATGTACAGGATGAATCATTAACTTTCGCAGGTCCGTACTATCGTTACAGAACGTACTGGGATTCCTTGCATAGGCCGTTTTCCAAATACGTCGATCCATGGCCTCTCACTCTTTACAAGCTCAAACAGATTGCAGCATTTATTGCATTGTTTTTAGCAGCGAACCACCTATTTCCTAGTGATGTAATGTTCATTATAGAGACTTAAGTTTATATAATAATATATAATGTAATATCAGTAATGTATTTCTTTCAATTTCAGTATACGCAATCGACGGAGTTTGGAGAACACAGTTTCCTTTATAGATTTTTATATATATATCCGACATTCACCGGTTTTCGACTAAGAATGTTCATTGGTATGGCTCTAGCTGAATGTGTGTGCCAAATGTCAGGGCTAGGGGCTTATCCAGTTTCCTGCCAACCTGTGCCTGGTTTGGGCCCGCGAGATTACAAAACGATTGAAAAATTGTGAGATAATTTTTCATATCCTTTTCTCTGCATTTCAGTTTGTACTTTATGTCTCATTTTGGCATATATTCAACAAGCTGTTTCATTAATTAACTAACTGTTATAACATTGGAAATGTTTTCAAGATAATCAAATATCAAAAAAATATGCAATTATATGCATTTTAATTGTTTTAAGAATTGTAAGTAAAAAAAAAATTTTACTTTGTTTATTGACAGACACTGAAGAAGAAATAGATGTACATTTGTTTAATTAACCTGTTTATCTGTAAAGGAAAGATGGAAAAAGAATGTTCGCTGCATTACTGCACAATTTAAAAAATTATTTGACGTTGCAGTTATCCGCGATGTTTCCTCTAAATTATTCATTAATACGGGATTAATTTAAGAGAAAAATGAACAAATCTTCGCAATCTTTCTTTTTACAGAATACAAATATTTACTTATACTGAAATGATTAAACGTAATGTGTCAGGTCAATTGATGACGATAGAACAAAGAAGGAGGTGCAGGATTTTGAAACGGTGCACAACATGAACGTGTGGGAAGTGGAAACGACTTCGTTCGTCAGACACACGATGAAAATGTGGAATACTTGTGTACAATATTGGATGGCAGTATGCATTTACAAAAGGTTTCCCTACAAGGGTTTAAGAATTGTGGCGACAATGACTCTATCCGCACTATGGCACGGCTATGCTGCAGGCTATTATTTCTGCATATGCCAAGTCCCGCTTTATCTACCTTTCGAAGATCTCTGCATGAAATTTCACAATCAATGCGAAGAGAACGGATTCGTGAGTAACTCATCTATGCAAATCTAATAATACCAATCAAATCGATCTTGCTTTTGGATTAAATCAGATATAAAACATCCTTTTTATCATAAATATATCTATATTAATATCTTGCCACTTTAAAGAAAGTCTGTTTTTAGTGTTTGAACAATTTTCCATCAATCTCAGAATAGATATTTATTTTTGAGTAGATCCAAGCTTGAAAGATTGCTTAACTTTTTAAAATAGAAACATATTTTTTTATCCGAGTTATAATTATAAAATCTAAATATAACGAGACAAGATTTTTTCTTCTACAATGATATTCTTGAACATTGCAATGTTACATGTGCTTTACACATTTTTCCTAATGAAACACAGGGTAGGAAGGCTTGGAAACTCTTCTTATGGTGGGCGCGGCTCACGTGTATGGCGTACCTCGGCGTGCCCTTCCAGTTGCTGCGCTTCCAAGAAATAATACACTTTTACAAGAGTCTGTATTTCTCCGGACACATCTTAGGACTTGTGCTTTACTTAGCCTTACGAATCTCAAAGCCGTACTTCCTCAAACGGCATCAAACGGAAGATCAGAAAACCAAGTAACTCCTAAGGAGCGCGTTGGCTTTAAAGCGGGAGTTCCCAATCCGTGCGAGAGGTGGTGAAACGAACGTTCTAATTTGGTTACTTTCTTTTTTAAGGTATCGAGGTATTAAGCGTATCTTTATCGATATATTGTTAATTTTTCTATACCATTTTTTGACTAGGTCTGTGATGCTATTATTTCTTTCTTGCGGTATTATGGGATTTATGGCTTTTTTCCTTTTGTGCTATTGATTTTTTGATACTCTTTTTATCTTGGTAATTCGTGTTCTGTAAAATTGGATACTTGTTTCTGTCGTATCTCGTGATATTGTGGTGATATTTTAATTGAGTCATTGAGGCTTGCCAAAACCAATAATTGCATGCAGATTGCATCAAGCAACAATTTGATGCTCATTCGACAGTATTGTTAATATAACTTTATGGGAAACGATAATCTTCCTCTTCTAATATCTTTACTGATTACAGTACTTTACAAAATTCAAAAGGTTTTCAGCAACGGGAAGCAGTACTATTACTAATCGGATAGATATGTGCAATACTAATTTAGTTTAAATTAGACAACACTAGTCAGTATGAAGATATCGAAGGAGAATGTCGGAAATATCTCCGTTATTCCATTTGTTATCAAACGAATGAATTATTTCAAGATGAAATCATCTGTGGGAGAAGTGATGCATAATAATGTGAAAATATTCGATATAAAAAAACGTTACAAGATATACTTGTAAATTTTTTAGATTTAAACCAAAGATATCAAGGTACGATCATACATTGCGAATGCTAAGACACATATTAGTTCTCTAAAATTATATTGGCGTAAAAGAACTGAAAACTGAATTGTAAGTAAGCTGAGTGACAGATCAAAATCGAGTATTATTGCAATATTAGTTATAATTTCTTGAGTATTAAAATTTTGGAATAGAATAAGGGAGATTTTTTCTTCTTTCACGAATATTGGTCGAGTTAATGGAATATGAATATGATTTTTGTACCAAGAGATACAAGCACATTTTGTAAGAAGGAACTCCTGCCTTGCATTATAGATTTCCTTTTCGAATTGAAAGTCTTCAGTTTACTCTATACTCCGTATATAATAATCAAAGATACTAGCTGTTATTAATGTTTTATATACTTGATACATGTGAAGCGGTGAGGGATATCGCGAGTACAAATCCGAGTGCCATTCGGTGATAGATGCTCCTCGCACCTCGGAATGTCGTGGGATTTTATTATCGAGGAAGGGAAGAGTGTCGATCATATTGCAAAAAAAAAAATGTAAAAGAGCAGGTGCAACACTCGCAAGTTATCGAGAAGAGCAATAAAGAGTCTATTTCTCTATTTGATATCGGATTTTATTGATCCTTGCACATCCTCCTCCACAATCCACTGTAATATATATTTTTGTTCAATCTTTCACTTGTCACTTCTTTAAAATATCTCATATACGAATACTTACACTTCACTTCCTAATCTGCTTGGCAGGTAAGTTCGAAGCTTACACCTGAAAGAAAGATATAAATGGAACACTAGGAGAAAATTTTCCGAGAAACTCTTTAGCCTCTCCAAACTCTTCTGATCTTCTTCGGCTGATGTGGCGTCGCAGATATTAAAACTTCCATAGCCGAGCGATTGTTTTTTTTTTTTTTTTGTGTGTGCCCGATACTGAGAAGCAATATAACTCTAGCTCTCATTTCTTTTTTTATTATTAACTTTGTACTCCAATTTGGCCCGAGTTTCAACGCGTTTCAAAGTTGCTTCTATGCGCGTCTCGAACTTTTCCACAAACTCGATTCTCTATCGACAATATTACAGCGCGTAGGATGGCATCGGCTGATGCAATTTAAAAGAATTTGAAAATAAACAAAACTTCCAAACAAGACTTCTGTGAAATGTATATGACGTACCTTGTCCACTTCGTTTCGTCAAAGCGGCCCGCTTTGATGAATAAATTACGGGAACAAAGTGGAGGAAAATGAATTACGAATGAATAAGCGATGAGCGATGGTCGAAGACAACTCTATGGTGAGAAAATGAACTGGATTAAAGATCAGCTAAGGCAGAGATTTTTATAAATGGAACCCCCGCGATCACTCAACGATCGTTACTCACGACACCGCGATCACTATTTTATTTGTCAACAATTGCACGGCAATGAAAAATTGTGCTAACTCGCAACGCGAAAGGAAACACTCTCGCAACACAATGCGTTGCGAGTACTTGATTTCGCGTATAACTCGGGGTTCTCCAAATAAAAAAAAAAAAAAAAAAA